TCTTACTAAGCTTGTCTGCTGACAGCAACTGTGTCGTTTCGAGCAAAACTCCCACGAGTGTGTCATAATATAAATTCAATTCTTCCGAAATTCCATGAATCAATCTTTCATCTGACGAAACGGCAAGCAGGGCTTCCAAAACCTCTGTATTATCTGATGCCATGTACACTTATAATATTTTCAGATGGTGACGCGAATTTCAGTGTCAAGTGGTCTAGGAAGAGTAAACCGGCCAGTATGGATTTCCACAAAGCACGAAGACTGTCGACCAATTGCCGTGCGGCATTGCCGGCGAGTCGCCGTTTCTAATTGGGTGCCCAGACTGTTCGCTTATTGGCTACTTTTCAAAAACCATAATCAACGAAACGAAACTACTAAACAAACCAAAAAAACCAATATCACTCATTTATATCTATAAACAAAAAATCGAAATACCTCTTCTAATGAAGCGCAGAATGTGTTCCCTTGCGAAGACAATATGTCAAAACAATGATACACTAACCAAAACATAGTAAAACCGATGAATAAAGCCATAACAATGAGCAATAAGTAACCAATATGTACCTCGTCGTAAAACAGAAAATATCTACCAGTAAAAAATAAGACACTGCACAATAATGATGAAATCGAAAGTAATAACTCTAAAAACAAAAACATTAAACCAGAAATAAACGGGTAAGCGGCGATTAATAAATTAAAAACAAGTAGGAATGCTATAATAATGTAAACATAATGTACAAAGTAATAGGTAAAAAGAAAAGGAGAAAACGTTTGCGCTCAATAGGAAATGTTGGCCTGACCACGATGCAGCCCGTTATTTCACAAGGCGAAGGTACGTTGTAACAGTGTAACAGTCGATATCTTTTATGGTTGAGTGTGTTGTGCTTCTTCTAAGAGACAAAGCATTATCGGAGTAACACATCTTCATATGCCCTTGGCCCGCTCGGGGCATTACAAATGGTGGCAGTGATGTCCGGAACAAAAGATTTCGTCCGAGGATCCACGCCAACTTCTTTCACACTCTGTCCTTTCGGACGCCCCAACACAGTGCAACAACGGCCACTTCCCAAGTGCGCAACATCTCCGACACCTTTTTTCCCGCCCTAGCCCATCCAACCGTTTATCTTACAACAGTGGTTGTTGACTGCTCAACCATACATAGTTACAGTCCCTGAAAATTTTTTTAAGAAGGTGACACTGAAATCCCTTCGGCCCCTGACATTATTTACAAGGTAGATGGGATGCCTTATCCCCATTCTGTGCTTTCGCCGAATATTTTACCACACCAGAAGAGATATTTCAGTCAAGGTCTAGTGTGGCCGCAGAAAGTGAGTTTCATTTCCCGAACCCAACACGAGGACGACAATTTTATCGACTTCTACATTGCGTTGGAACACCTTTCTTTTCGCGCCTTTCCTCCCCTCGGCGACGAGGCCCTGACGTTTAATAGCCTGATCAGCAGCGTTCGAGATAGGGAACTCGCAGTGATCTTCACCAGTCGGCCCCCTACCAATGCACATGAGGCGTTCGACCTGAATGCGATGCGGCGCAACCCATTTCCATGGCACAGGAACTCCGAGCTCCCATACCAGCAACATCGCGAGGCCACCCGCCGGTTTTATCAGTTCCATAACGACCACCCTACTCTAACCCCAACTTCAACCGGCAGCCACCGAGATCCCCAACTACATGAACGAACGCGGACTGCTCTTATTGTGAACGGTTTGGCAAGGCCGCCAGATTCTATGGCCACAATTCAAGTAGACACCCTTTGCCTCTTACAGCTCTTTTTACACTTTCATCTGACTTTAAGTCATTGACAGTCTCGGGCAAGGTAGCTGACAAGGTTAGCATTCTAAGAGACACGGGGCAGCTGTCTCCCTGATCCACGATGGCCTTCTGCACAGCCCACCGTAAATAAATAATGAATAAATTTTATATTTTAGGCCCGGAGGGCCTCGTCAT